TGCCTTGACACATTTTACCCTTGATGGTATTTACTGAGCTAAGTTGAAAAAATTTAGGCAACAGTTACCCAACCACCAAACAATTATTACCATGGCTAAAACAAGCTCAGACCAAGACAAGCCCTGAGATAACCCACTGTCAGGTTAACGTAAAGCCCTTGGCCCAATACTTGTAATGACAGAATTATATGTACCAGGTTACATCTGAAGACAAAAATAGATGCACAGTGCTGAATTGCAGTGAAGAAACTCCCTTGAATCATGTTGAATCAAGGTGGGTTAGGAGGTGACATCTGGATGATAAGGTTCATGTCCCTGGAAAAATGAGAAAGCATTTATTGAGCAGCCCCAGGCTATATACACTTGGGTGAAAGCCAGGGTAGAATGACAGATATCACCAATGCAGGGAGATGTCAAATCCTGTCCTTGAATGCATCCAGCTATGGGATATTATAAATATGCACATGTATGGTGTCTAGAATTGCAAGTGTCCTTGTAATACTTGTGTGCTGGGTTTGAGTGGGGGGGTATTTGCTAGTGGAGAAGGGGACTACAGCAGTGGCCCATGTGAGAAGCTTCTCAAAAGCTCCCCCAGCTCCAAGTCAGTCCCATCCCTGACCAAGCCTGAGCCAATTAGGGATGGTGGCTGTGCCTCTGTGTTAATGTATTTAAGAAGGGGAACCTGAGAGGGGGTTGGGACTTGTGAGGAGGAGTTATGAGAAGGATGAACACCCAGGTGGAAGGAAGGAGGGAAAGAGGGGAGGTAAGCTAGAGCAGAGACCTCCCTGTATCCTGCGGTGAGATGGCTGGGCTGCCCTCTCTGCCACCCAGGGAGGTCCATGGTGGATCAGAGGCTGACTCTGATCCAGCTCGACACGCTGGATCAGCCTGGGAACAGCTGCATCCTGTGGGAAGGACTCACACCAGACAAGTTTCATGGAGGACTGTCTCCAGTGAGAGGGGAGCCACGTGGAGCAGGGGAGGAATGTGTGGCATTCACCCCACCTCCCAAGAAAGAAGGAGCAGGTGAGTTAACTGTAACACCTGCCCCCTGCACCACTGAGGGGGAGGAGGTAGAGAGATCAGGAGCAGAGCTGAGCCTGGGAAGAAGGGAGGGGTGGGGGGAAGGTGTTTTGGGGATGTGGTGGCACTTCCCACTGTCCCACTCTGTTAAGTGTTGTTTTTTTTGTTAGTGTTTGAATTAAAGTGATGTTCTTTTTTCTTCCCCTAAAGAGTCTGTCTTTTGCCTGTGAGCATAATGGGTGAGCCACCAGCTGCACACACCCCCCAGCCCCCTCCCTTATCTCAACTCCCGAACCTTTTACTTCATTTTCTCCTTCCCAGCACTGGCAGGGAAGGGGTAAGTGACCAGGCTGCATTGTACTCAGCTGCCCTCTGGGCTCAAACCAAGACAATTTGTTAAATTTGTTGCATTCTGTAGAGGTGATAAAAAGATCTCTTAATCACATCTTTGGTAAACTAAGTAATGAGAAGGAAAGCACTTGTGAAGGTCTGAAAATTGTTTTCATCACTCTGAGTCTGGCTGTTTGCATCTACCCAGATCATATTGTATACCAGCAACTAATCTCCTCAGAGTGCAGAGGACCTGCATCTTAGCTATGAAGTCTAGAACGTCCACTGGAAAAGCCATAAAACACTTCTAAAACTTGTCAGAATTGTATCTCTAAACCAAAGTCGGAGTCAGAAAAAAAACTGATGGTCTGGCACCAGGAAAGAAGCAGACACTGAAAAATCTGAAACCCCTGTGAGGAAATGGCATATCCCACCCTACACAGGGGTGTAAAGCACCCTGTTCTCTCCTACCCAACTGATCAACCCTTGGTAATCAAAAAGTGGTGATCATGCCACTCCAGGATGGTATGTCCCATGCACCTTCAAGTTTTTAAGTGCCTCCCAAGAGACCACCAGTGTACCTGCACCACGTCCTACTTCTAGGAGGGGCTGATCACTGCTACTTTGGAGAAATGTAAGCACCAGCAAAGGCAATCACCACCAGAGAGCAGATACTATGTCTGCAATCTTCACAGCCTGTTGGCAGAAACAGCAGGAGCAAGCAAACCGTGGCAGGGAAGAAGAGAGGACCAGCCTTTTTGGCAGGAGCCCTGGTTAGACTGGATTAGATGTGACATGAAATTCAAGACCATTCAGGTGAGTTCATCTGCCCAAAGACCAGCTGCTGCCATGTGGGAATGTGAAGTTATCTAGAAACAAAGGCTGTCTTAAGCCCTGGAATGACTCACCATTATTAGTGCTTAGTTATTACAAAAAAATAACCAGGTATCTGCCCATCCAAGAATGTGTTGGTCCAGCTGGATACCTTGGTGGAGAAAAAGCAAATCATTTGGCTGCAGCTGCTCTCTCTACAGCATCCCAGCAGAGCTTTTGGGAACACAGGTATACCAGGCTCCTTCACAGAGAGCAGCTAACTCTTTCTGCTGCATTTTATTTCTCTTGCAGGAGGCACTGCGGCAGCTGTGGTGAGTAGGAGAGATTTTCTTCTGGGAATTGCAGTTCTTCAGAAGAAGTACCTTGAAAAATCTTGTTAGTTGCTTTCTCAGACACAGGAAGAGAAAGCTGGGAGTGATGCTACCAGTTCTCCGTCTCTCCTCTGACAGGGGTTTTGTCTTATCTTCTGTCTCCCAACTTCTGGTCTGATGTCATTGTGTTAGGTGTAGTACTTCATGTCTTGGGGGAAGTTGTAGAAAGCAAGGAAGACAGTCTCTTTAGTCACTACCCCAATTTCTGAGAAGGACCTTCTTGGATATTCTCTGACGATCATGATCTTGTCAGACTTCTGGGGAAGAGTCTCCCTTAGCTCTGACAGACACTTCTTTAAAATGCTAAGAGCACCATCTGCATCGATGGCTCTGTTGTGTTTCAGGACTTTCTATAACATGCCTGGTATCATGTCTGAGAAGGGCCAAGGTTTGTTTCCTGGCCAAATGAACATAGTTTTGGTTTGACACCTTGTCTTCCAGATGTGACTTTGAAATCAGCCAAGCCGAAATACAACAGCTCTGTTTTAGCAGTCTCTGAGGGAAAGTCAGTGTGGTCTCCAGGGCTCAAGGCTTCCTGATGTCAACAGGGACAGTCTATGGTAGGAAACCATGGGGTTCAGGGGGTTTCCCCCTTGTCAATATATTTTTGCTGAAATTTGCTGGTAGCCCTTTGGTTGGGGGCTAAGCTTTTGGCTCCTCTGCAAGGGGTAATTTCTACACCCATTGCAGCTAGGTGCTGGAAGTGCTAGTATCTGTGCCTGCCCTGCAATGAATTCTCCACACTTAAAGGCACCAAGGTGCAGGGTTGCTGTTAGTCAGCAATGCACCACAGTATAATATTTGGTAGGCAGGTGTTCATCTCCTCCAGCCTATCCCTTTGTAAGGGAAATCAACAAGAGAGGGGATGTCAGTGAGGTCCTTCCCACCATACACCATCATTTCCAGCTGGCTAAATACCGGCAGCCCTCACTGAAGCTCAGGCAGCATCACTCTACTCCAAAGGTGGTTGCTGCCCCAGCTCAAGGTGCAGCTAGCAGCATAGGGATGCCTTCCCTACCTATTGGCCCTCAGGGTGTCAGATCCCACTTCAGTTTGCACTTCCATTGTCTGTTTAACACCTTCCTCATGTCTTCTCAGAAAACAGAATGTCTGGAGGCAACAAGTATTCCCCTGCAGAAGCCCTGGCTGTCAAATTGGCATTTCCTGTAAGGATAAAGGCAATCTCTTAAATACCCTGCATGGAAACCTCACCAGAGTTCATCTTGGGTCTTGCTGTTCTTCCAAAGCATTGGAGTGTTGGAGTTAAGCCACAGCATGAGCAGTCCTGGGGAATCTAGGGAAATATCCCCTACTAGAGTAAAGTCACAGTGCCAGATCACCATTCCTACCTGAGCCTCCAAGATGTAATGTTGCTGCCTGAATCTTGGCTGGAAGCCTTGTGAGCTCACAAGTCTAAGAGGGACTGAAGGCCTCAAGAGGCAGATGAAGCTACAAATAGAGGAATAACATATCAACAATCAGAACCAGGCCACTTTGCAATTTCTTAGAGAGGGGTCCCAGTCTGCCACTCCTTTGAGACAGGGAAACCCTTGGCTCAAGCAGGATTACACATGGCTTACTCGTGCAGAGTCTCCTTCTAGTTGAAATATTCCTGAGCTGAGAAGTATGTGTCTGTCAGACTTCCCCCCTGCTATCTCTAGCACAACTGATTCAGGGAGAGCTTTTGTGAAAGGGGTTGAAATACCAGACCTTTTGGGGTGGCAAATTTTGGTTGGTCCACTACGACTGATAGCCCTGATTTCCAATAAAAGTTGTCATTTTGTTTTGTTGGAGATCATCTACAGATCAGCTCTCTGCCTGGCAACTGTGCAGTTTCCCTGGTGTTACAGAGGCTCACGATTTCACCCACTAAATCCAAAGCCTCTACTGGAAATCAGTCTGGAGTACCTCATTTGCCCAATCATATCAAACTAATGAACATAAAACGAGATGCTACCATGGTCTTTAGGGATGCAGAAGGGAGGCCCAATTCCCCACATTTTACTTCTAGACAGCAAGGCTTGGCAAGGTTCCTGAAGGCAGTACAATACGTAAAAGAGAGGGACCCTAAAGAACAGAGTCCCACTCCTACGGAAAACCCAGCCCTCAGATATACTTCGTAAGAAATAAGCATTCCAAAAGTACATCTACAGCCTCTCTATTATAAGGTGCATTTAAAGCTCTCTGCCATACTGAGATCAGTAAATATGCTCAGACATAGATTAAATTCTGCTGATATGTTCTCAGAGAAGGCTGTTTTGACCAACTGCATGACTACATACTAACACCCTTCCCCAAACGCTTGTGAACAGAAAGCGCGAGGACGCAACAATAGCCTAAGAGTATACATCCCTCATGTGGTATGTAAGAGAAATGCAACAGCAACAACTCCGTGCCGCGTAGCAACCCCATGGAAGTAACTCCCGGTCAGCAGCTACGCCAGAACAACAGTACGAGACGCCTTTGCTGCATTCGAAAACGTTGCTGCTCGAAACACCAGAGCTGCGCTTCCTAAAGCGGATTAAACAGGCTCAGCACAGGGCCGGCGGCAGGCCTCGGCGGCGGGACCGGCCACCCCCGCCGTCCCGTGGGCGGGGGCCTGGCGTCGCGTCCGTAGTGCGTCGGTAGCGGGCGCCGGTGTCGCTCGGCTCGGCTCGGCTCGGCTCGGCTCGGCTCGGCTCGGCTCATCGCGCCGCCATGGGGCTCTTGCTGTGGCTGGCCGTACAGCTGGGCGCCAGCTCCGCGACGTACGTGGTGTCCGTGGATGTCCGGCGAGCCGAGCGGCCCCTGCAACACTTTTGGAGGAGCACTGGCTTCTGGTAAGCGCGCACAGCCCCGCGGCCGGCGCCCGGCTGTAGGCCATGTACCGCTGCCGAGGAGCAGCCGAGGAGGGAGCCGGCTGTCTCCAGCCCTCCTCAAGTAAAGGATCCCCGGGGTCTGAGGACGCGGCCTTTCTGGAGGAACCTAGGCTCTTCCGGACCTGCTCCTCAGGGGTCAGAGGTCACGGCGCCTTGCATCCTTTTGCTATTCGGCCTGATGCATGTTACCTGTGCGGAGCTGGTCGTGAGATGTGGCCACTGAATGTAAACAAAGCGGATCACAAGATAGGGCCAGTCGACATCCCCGGTCTGACTTGCTCCCTTGCCTCCAGGGCCCTCAACTATGTGAAGACCTTCCTCTTCCCCAGCACAGCACATATGTTGATACTTGGAACTCATTGCCTTTTCTTTTCAGTGCTTGCATTGTCACGGTCCCTAAATGGGTCCCAGCAAAGCTTCCCTGCCTGGTTTAGGACATTGTTCTTCTTGCAAGACACAATGCACCATCTTCCTGATGCGGCCAGTGGATCTGGTTGATCTAAGTTAGGGCAATAGGTGGGAGCATGCATAAATCCTAGCTCCACTGTTTCATATCCGGATGATGCTTTGCTTCTCAGAGAAAGCCTAGTCTTGCTGAGCTAATGGGCGTTGAGCAGCCTTCAAGTTTTGTGAAATACTTGAAGGCTTCTAGCAGGCTCAAAACCAAGAGACAATATATTCCTCAGCCATGTTCACGTCTTACTCTAAAGTGATTATGACCTCCTTCATTTAGGCATATAGTGGATTAAGTAACAGTTGTAGGAAAAAGAGTTGCAACAGGCTTTAATCAGCAGCGTGTGCTTTGGACAAGAAGAAATGTGTGTACTTTTTTTGTATAATGCTTAAGGGTTGTCTAAGACAAAAAACTAGTTTTCCATTAGTTTTCCATCTTGGTGAGAAAACAGAACAGGACCTAAAATACATTCTAATAAAGAAGAATGTTTGGGCTTTCTAGACTTCTTTTTTTTTTTTTTTCGTTTGCTGTTCATTTTTTGGTTTAATTTTTGCTTTCAATGTTAGGAAACGTTAATGAAAAACTGTCTTAAAAAATTGTATGTGTTGCCCATTTAAACTGCAAGCCAAGAAACAGCAATGATTTTAATTGTGTGAAAGAAACTTTGGAAAGCTGCAAACATGAAAAGCATGTGAGGAAGGGCAGAGGAGCAGCAGCAGAGCCAGAGGTCAGCAGGTACTCATAACACCTGGCCAACACTGGTATCTCTCAAGCTGCAGGATTTCAGCTCCTTTGAAAGCTCACAGAGTTGGGTTCCAGTTGTTAAAGCTTCTTTTCACAATTTCAGACCATTGGGCAAGTGCACATCTGTGGCTTAGCAGTTGATTAAGCCTGGAAGGCTGCAGGACTTGATGTTCTCTTGGATGGGCACTTTCCACTCAGAACAGGAAAGGACAGTTACTGATAAAACCAATAATAAAACCCACTGTTCTGCCAGCTTTATTTTCTATCTCGTCATGGTTTTTGCTAGATTTCTCTCTAGCAGAGTGTGAGTTTCAGTGTGTTTATTCAGTGTGGACTAAGCAAAAATATGTGAATGCTTTATGCTTGACTTCCATCTTTGCCACTGCTTGAGCTGAAGCAGTTTTGAATCTCAGAGTAGTAGTGAAGCACTCCTTCAAAAACCACAGTTAACATTGTTCTTATCCACTGGAACAATTAAAAAGACCCAAATGGCTGATACATTTTTAGTAAGAGTGGAATTGGTAACTTCTTCGTCTCACTTGTGTGACTTGAAGCAATCTCAGGCAGATGATTACTAAGTGCCGTGTATGCTCGTGAAATTGCACAGAGGGGCTCACATGTGCTGGCCGATTTGTATGAAGCACTGAAAGGATGTAATCTGTGTCAAGACTTGCACTTTCAGGTAAGGATGCAGGAGATGGGTTAATAGATAGGCAGTGTCTTAGCTAGGACAAAAGTTGCGTCAAATTCTTTTCTAGGTGGGCTCAGGATTTTCCTGCTTTGTGCACACATGCACAACTACACACTACAGTAGCAAGTTCATTTACCTTGGAGGTAGGATGAATATGTGGAGGGGGACAGAGGAGGAGACTATGACAGTACTACTCTTCCCAGCATATTACTGTCAGCATAAGAGCTGATCCACCCATCAGAGGAGGCAGATTGCAGTAGGCAAAGCATAAACTATCTTAGTTTTTCACTTATACAGTTACTATACAGTCTGTAGCAAGAGCACAAGTCATCTCTCTTTGCAATGTGAGAACATGTGGAAGTATTTTACCAAACTTTGGGGACAGTGTTATCTTTCCTGTAATGCAAATGCTTTGACACTCGGAATTTGTGCGTTACAGGGAGGCTTAATGTGAATCTGTAAGGATGCCCACACCCAGTGAAGTGAGCAGCGTTCTAAGTATCTGACTTGTGGAGGGTGAGATCTCCCTCCCATCTTGCAGCTATTTATCTGTGGAATTAGAGGCAGCAGAAATTTGCCCCAGTGTTATGTTAATTTCAGTGGAATAAGTAGACACCAAAGTCATACTAACATAATCATTGCTGTATAGCTGTGAGCAGGTTAAACAGCATCAAGCATAGAAATCTAAAGCCACATACTCCTGTGGTTCCTTATGCTTAGGGATGAGTTGAGCATGGCCAAAGAATGTGGATACCCGGAGGGTCTAACTCTGCTTCTAAAAAAGTGTAACTTCCACAGCAGAAGAAGAATTAATGTCATTGCATGGACTTCAGTAGGAAGATCAAGCCCATATTTGTGTTACTACAGACCTTGGGAAGTCTGACTTCCACTGCAAAGCCTAGAAGACACTGAGCTCCCTTATCATTAATTACTTAGAGGCAAGATGACTGCCATTGTATGGCTTCTTCAGGCCACTGCTGCTTGAGGTTATCTGTGCAGCAATGACTGCTTGTAATACTTTTCTTTGAGCGTGGCAATGAGATGCACCTGAATTGTGTTCTGCTTTGCCAGACTACGTGTGTAGCCAGTTAGCTCCAAATAACTTGTACCTCCATTTGCATTCATCTCATGTTACACAGCGTTCCTCATGCCAGGGAGGATCTTGAAGGTTGTATAGGAATTTAGCATAGGGATCTTTGGATCTGCTAGTTAATGTTGCAATGTGCTGTTTCTTTTTTGTCCCTCCCTTCCTGAAGCCCTCCTCTACCTCACAGCCGTGCTGACCTGTTTGACCTGAGCAAAGACCAAGAGATGAACCTTGCCTATATTTCTTCTGTTCCGCATGGTGGCATTGAACAAGTTCGAATTCACTGGTTACTGGAATTAGTTGCTCTCAGGTAAGCTAACACCTCAAGTCAAAATCCAGAAAAAGGTAACGTTAAAGTGTCCAACAGGTGCTCACATTGACATTTATTTTAGTATAATTGCAAGCTGAGCATGTCTTTGCTTCCTTGGAAGTCAGGTAAGTGCCAATGGAGGGGAATTGATTTGAGAGATTAAGAAAGAGAGAGCTTGTATTGAGAAAGATAGGGTTAACCTGCATGCTTTACATCGTAACAACAGATTAAGGAGCAGTTTAAGGTTTCCTTTCTTTTGAAGAGTTGTGGGTGTGCTGGTCAAATTTTACTGAAACCATTTCAGGTCATATGCTACAGTTGTTCCATGTTTCCCCTGCTGCCATGTCCAGGCCTCTAGCATCTTGATTCCCAGTTGTACCATGATTTCCAGAGAGGCCTCAGGTTAGCAGAGATGTGCTTTATGGACCATTTCATGTAAAAGGTTCTAGTGCAGCTTTTTTTAACTGGGTGCATCCTTTCTAAAATATTGTTTGGCACAGCCTTGAGAGCTCTAGAGGAGTTTCCAATAGTTTGTTAAGCAGGGAAGTGTTCTGCTTTGCAGTCAGGACATCTATGCCCTGTATTATGGAGAGAGCTCTCAGCTGTATTCCAGGCAACAGTCATTACGACTGTTCTCAAGACTCGTACTGGGTGTTACCACTGCCATTCCTTCAAGCCCAGCGGAGTTTAGTTTTAGTGCAGTTACACCAGCAACTACTCAGTACTGCAAAGAACTGGGAGAGGCCAGACTTTGAGAGTCCAGTTCCTGTCCACATCCTGGCTGTCCACATGTTCCTAGAGCTCCGCCTAGATATAGGTTTGCTTTTAATATTCAAGTCACAGTGTTATGCTCCTTTTCCAGGTTAGATGAATCTTTGGCAAAAGCTAGGAATGGGATGGAATAGGGTGATAGGCAGAAATTCAGTCCATTCCTTACCAAAGCATTTCAGGTGACGATACTGTCTCAGACAAGACTTCTCACCCATCCCGTTATGTGCTTTGCTAATTGTTAGCCATTCTAAGTACAGTGCTGAGGGACTAGAAAGACGGCTTACTTTTCTGTCCTTTAATATAGGAGAGGTGATAGAGCAAAAAAAGTCCTGCAAAGTTTACTGACTTACTGAGAGGTCCAAATGAAAGCTGCCACTATTTTTTACTACTTCTGTTTTCCTACCACTTAACTCGAGAGTTTCTTTTTGCATCCCGAACCCACTTGTGCACTGCATCAAGTGACAGGTAGTGACAACTAAACCAGGGTGACTTTAGTCAATACCAGTTAATACCCTCTTCCTAAAGGATTCATGTACATAATAGCATTTCTAGTTCTAGGGAAATACATGTCAGACTCTACGAGGACAATGTTCACTTTCCTTGCCTTTTAAGTTCCATTTAACTCATCTTAAACACACTCATACTAATATGCCTGCTGGAAATAACCAAATATAGATGCCTAGAACTGGAGTGATGAGTCTATGAGGAGGACAAACCATAAAAACCCCACCAAAAGTTATAATAGCTCTTAAAGTTCTGCCTGACTCAGGCTGTTGCTGAGCTGAGCATATTTACAATCCACATTATTACTGCATCTGCTGTCATTGACACAGGAGGACAGAAATGTACCAGTTTTAAGTTTGAGGAAACAACAAGGGAAAGAAGAGCTCAGACTCTGGAAATGGGGTGTGAGAAGAGGAGTAGTGGGTTTCAGAGTGTACATTACAAACAGGAGTTTTCTTCCTAGGTATTAGGGTGTGCTTGTGTATGTAGTCTCGTTTGGGAAGATGTTCGGAGGTGCTCCCCAGGGATGAATATTACATATGTATCCCAGAGCTGTCTCTGTATGCTAGTCCATCTGTGAATATAGCTGGTAACACAGGTCTTCCACCTCATCTTTCTCTGTGGAAGTTTCGCAGTAAACACCCTCTCCTGGGCTGTGTCTCTCTTACTGGGCTGTGGGTTTTGGACTCACTCTTGCAGTGACCCAGCTTCATCAGGGGCGAGGTCAACTGTCACTGCTCAGTACTGCTGGAGTCCCTGTCTTAGATCTCAGAATTTTCTCCTGAGAGATGGCTTGAGTCTGTCAGGTTTTTATAACCAACTGACTTACAGAAAAATCAGTGAGTAACTTTGAAAAGAAAGTAGCCACATCTAAACTCGGAAGCCAAAATTCTTCCTGACAGCCTGTGTCAGCTGTGACTTGTGTTGGACTGGGCTTTCCAAATGATTGAGGGAAAGGAATGTGTCTGTCATGGATTCTGCTCAGCCTTTGTGGGGAATGAGGCACTGAATCCTTCAAAGTTGGACACAATCCTTGACATGATCAAAATTCTAGGAGCATGGGAACATAGTGGTCAAGCAAGAAACACAGAACAGCTGTAATGCCTCAGTGGTAGGATCCTAACCCACTAGCCTCAATATTTAGCCCAGCTTTGACACGTAGATATTAGAAACTTCACTATTGTTCAGAACCAAGCTAAAACTGCTCATTTTGCAAAAATACGCATTTGTCAAAAACAAGAAGACATTTAAGTTGTGGAAGGACAACCAGTGGACTGAGTGGCAGCAGTGGTTGGGAAAGGAGAGAACATGGAGCCTGCAGACAAACACTGAGATTGAAAGAAGCAACAGGGGCAAGAATGCAAGTCCAGATGGGAGGATTTCAGTGCTGATGCTGAATTCTGTGCATGTGCAGTTCTCTTCCTGAGCCAGTGATTTTCAAAAGGACATAAAGAGGTTTTGAGTGAGAACCCTGTAACAGCAAAACTGTGTTATGTCTTGGGGCAGGTGAATAGAGAAAAATTCTTGGAAGGTGATGGTGGGTGCTTGAATGAAGAAGAGCACTTACAGAAAACAGAGGACTAGGAGATACTGCCACTGTATGGTGGAAGGCTAACCAAGGCAGGCTTTGCTTTTTCTCATGGTTGTGCCATATGTAGAAAGGTACCATAAATGTTCCTCCCAAGAAGCAGATGTGCTCAAATAAAAGACTTCCACCTTCTCCTTCTCACTTCTATAATGATCTTTCTCATGTCTTCTAATACCCCAATGCCAGTGCATCCCTGTATTTTAACTCTTTTCTAGGACATCAAACTCATCTGTTATCTTTTTATTTATTCCAAGTTATCCTATTACTTTACCACCTGTAAAAGGATACCATGAGGCAAACAGTTTTCAAAGAATTGTTAGTTTTATTTTCAATGAAAATCACATATTTGTCTCTAGATCATGTGACACAGGAATATTCATGGTTACGGGGGAACCCAACATGTCTTTCATGGACTGGACAGTTCCCTGATTGTTAATTACCAGTGTCAATAAATACATCCATTTTGACACCTAGACTACGCATTCTGCCCATGCTGTACTAGTCAACAGGAGGGTTTGAGGTGATGATTCCCAACTCTTTGCCCACCTCCATGGGACCAATGCAGTCTACAAGTTAAGATCCCTTTCCTATTCTTATGTAGCAGTACTAAAGTTTGTTGGATAAATGATCTATACAAGGCAACACAGTGAACAAAAATATAGTCAATCTACATGATGGATATAACATTTCCTAAAAGGCATATAATGATTTTATTTCAACATTAGTATTAACACAGTTGGAATTACAAGCCTATCCCCAGCTCCTCTCCAAGTCATGGTACCTAATTCCTATACCTAGAATAGGAGAGAATCAGCAGTTTTTAACATTTTCAGTCTTTGTACCCTTAATCTTGGTGTAACACAGTATAGCAAACATAAATGTGCCAGAAAAAGGCTCACTTTTTTAGTTTCCTTAGAAATAATTTACAGTCTCCCAGCATTCTTACATTATAGCACTGAAAGCTGTTTCCCTGCTGTGTCTGACATTGTCCAACATAACAACTTGATTGTGAGCCAGCTCTGCCAATGAAACTGAAACAGAAAATTGGTTTTATGTTTTCTTCTGGTCAATAGTTTCTTCCTAGTAAAAGTCTTAAAGCTTACCTCACCTCTTATGCATAGCCAAGTTTCTTTGCTTAGGTATCTTTTAGTGCCATTCTTATGATAAATATGTTTAAAAAGATACTTCTGACTCTTAGTTTCTCAACCTGGTGAATAAGAGAAGGTCAGCCTCTCTTCATTTTTCTCCAGAGACTATTGCAAGGATACACTTTCCACTGGACTCTCTCTTTCTTTTTATTTTAAAATGAGATTCATCTAGAGCTAGGGGTATTTTGCATTTTTTCCTTAATATTCTAGGCTAGTAGCTTGACCCATAAATATAAAAGAAGTCTGGATTGCTAGGATGTATGTTCTTTTGTACTGAAGCAATTTTATTTGGCTTCCAACAGCTTGTGTTAGTATAACAGCCTAAGAGTGTTTATATTGATATTGTCTGTCAGTAACTCCTCTAAACCCACTTCCTCATGCTAGGCCCTGGCAGGACCTTAAAAAAGGTATTCTCTGGTCAAAGAATGGTTACAAAGAAAAAGCGGATGCAAGGCAATACTTTGTCCTTGGGCTCTGCCCATTTGTTTTTATGACAGAAAGAAGCTAGTCATGCCAAATCAGCAATTTAAAGAATAATGTAATTAAATTGTTTTATGGCAGGAAAATGCTGCCAACGGTCAATCCTTTAATCTCTTGACAGACATTTCTGTCAGGTTTTACTGCTCAGGCAGTACTCACAGTGTGCAGCTGACATGCTTTTTTATAATGAGTGCATGAAAATGTCAGCACTGAATCACTTACCTAATATTGTGCTATTCACAATCCCACTGAAGACATCTTTTATTTTGTCTTTTGGGAATGTACTGCTTTTCCTTTAACAAAATATTTGTTCTTGAGAGTCAAATAGGCTCTGGGGCACCTGGAGAACCTCAGTGTGAATGTTCTTTCATTCAGTGACCTGAAAAGTTGAAATAAGCAAGTCACATGATTTGTTAACTGGACTTTTTTATTTTTTATGGTCACGCTTCTGTATATGTGGAACCTATTTCTAGAGTCTACTAATTGTAACAGCTAGTTGGCTACTAATGAGGCACAGCTGTGATGGAATTTTCTTTAGTGCTTGGTGCTGTGTGTGAACCAGCCATGAATAAGGAGAGAAAGATAGGGCAGCTGTCCTACATTTTGTGAAGGTAATGATAAGCTTGGGTATGAGAGAGGATATTCTGCCAGTACCATGGGCCAGAACACTAAGTACTAACTATGTTACAATCTAAGTCTATGTTTATTTGTAAAGAGAGAACATGCATATATAACAACACAAATTGCTCTGGGAGTATCATTTGACACTATGCAGAATGAACAGCAGTTAATGCAAATTATTATAGAAAGTAACACAGCTCTGGAAAACATGGTTTAGAGGACCTCAAATCAAAGAATGACATAATCAAAAAAATCCCCAAAAGTGTCTGTAGTATGTGCAAACAGTGGTGGAATTTTTCCAGCATATGGTGGTACACTACTTACAAAGAGTTGCTCCCTTCACTTGACCCAGGTATGCTACTCTAGAGCTTCATTAGCATTGCATCAGAGAAGACCAGCCAGGCAGTTCTGACTGACCTATCAGTTCCTTTCTAGGCACACCACAGATTTAAACTTCCTACCCTACCCTCTCTTCTCCTGTTTCTCTTTGTATCCAGGCAGGCAGTTGTAGGAAGAACATGCTGTGCTGCATCACAGTTCAGAGGTTTTTTTTTTTGATGGCCCTTATGTGTCCCTGAATTGGAGCTGCATCTGCCTGCCAGAGGCAATTTATTTTTACAGGATGGTACAGCTACCTGGGTAACTGTGTGACTGCCAGATAAAGGCATTCATTTTTCTTAATCTTGTTTATCTTCTTACTAGTTACAAAATTGTGCATCAGAGTCATATTTCTTCCACCGTCATTAAGGTTATCTCAAACTTCAGTAACTAATTACCACAGATTGAAGCCAATAACACAAGTGACTCCAGCAGCAATTTTTGGAAATGATGGTTTTGAGAGGATCCTGTGATGGATCATGCTTTCTTCTCCTGTGGCAGGTTATGTCATTAAGCCTATGTAATCAGGGTAGAGAGACATGCTCCATTCCACAATATTTTATACATTTTGTTTGTATAGAAATAGTGGGAGTTGTTTAGAAGTGCACCTAGAATGATGGAAAGGTCAGGCCCTTGCAATCCAGAGTTTAAACAATTCTGTGTCCAAAATGCTAGACTGACTGCATTTTCATGGATATGGCTTAGCCTTCTTGACACAAACCAGCCATTAAACCAGTGGAAGATTCAGCTGACACTGAGCAGACCTTCCAGCACAACATTCTTATGATGTATATATTGGGTCACTCGTGATCACGGCACAAGGTGTAAGTCAATCCCAAACTGCCCCATTGCACATCATTTTCATTTTAAAGTGAAGGTGCAGGTAATAAGCCTGTTCCATCCTAGTCCTGAACTGCATCTCCAGTGACTGAAACAACAGAGCTCTTCAGGGGAGAATGGCTTATAGGGCGATTGCTGTACACAGCCAACAGTGTGTCTGATAAATTAATTATTGCAGACTGCCTCCCCATCTGTCACTTTTGTGTTGAATTGTTAAGGAAGACACAGGATTAAACTGAGCAGTCTGCTGGAAGCTTTTGGTCTTTTGCAAACTGCACAGCATTATCTATACTGTAGAAAAGCATTTCCTGAATGCTTCCAAAATCTTTCCCAAAGTAGCCTCCTCTTTTCAGGGAGTCTATGACTGAGGGATTGCAGCAAGCCAGGAGAACAGAAATGTTTAAGTCCTTGTAGTCTTTCAGGATTTCTTTTAGAGTATTAACTCCAGTGGTGTCCAAAAATGAGATGGAAGAGCAATCTACAACAAGGGTTTGGAAATCAGTTTGCTTAGGAACTAGTTGCAGAGTGGTTTCTCTGATGTCTAGTCCGTTAGCAGTTGTGTGATCTCCCTTTTTCAGATGCTGCTTTTCCTTCTTCTCATATTTTTTCCTTCTAGCAGCTTCTAGGTTAGGGTCTAAGTTAGTCAATCTGTACAGAGACTTTAAGAAGTAGTTTCTATTTGCATAGTAAAGTGGGGCCTCAAAACGGAATATTTTGACATTTGGAACAGAAGAGAGATTTTCATATTCTAATTCATCCTCATAAAAGCTGGTGTCTTGGATCTGGCCAAGCAGTGCTGTCCGTGGCCGCTGTGTCCGAACGATGATGCATAGCATGGAGAAAACAATGCCAACCAACAGTCCTATTTCTGTGCTGATCAAGGCAGAGGCAGTCATGGTAATGACCCAAACAATTGTGTCCACCTTATTCACATGGTACCGTGCTGGCACATCTTGGAACTTCCTCAGGGCTCCTCGGAGGCTGACAATGATGATACATGCCAGGACACACTTCTGCAAGGAGTAGAAGAGAGGTGCCAAGAACAGCAGCACCAGCAAAACCACCATTGCACTAACTACTCCAGAGACTTGAGTCTGGCAGCCTGTAGATGTTTTGACGAGTGTTTTTGCCAGAGCTGCACTGGTTGCAAAAGAGTGGAAGAAAGAAGGAATGATGTTGCAGAACCCCACAGCAAACATTTCCTGATTGGCTCGGATGGTGTAAGCGTATTTCTTTGCACACATTTCAGAAAGGGATACAGTGAAGACAAAGCTGACTACGGCAAGAGGCAAAGCATCTACTGCAACTCGGAGCATTAAGCTGAAATGTGGTACCTTGGGGGGAATAAATCCTGTTGGAATAGCTCCAGAAACACTGGATCCATATACTTCATTTAACTTCCCATAGTGTGACACCAGTGTTGCAACAACAATAACTACCAGCTCTGTGGGAAGAGGAAATTTCAGCTTATGCTTATACCGATCTCCCAGTTCCTTAGCAGTGACCAGCACTACAATACAAATGACACTTGTGATGACATCACAAAGGTTAGCCTGAGAAATGTTCCGGAAAATGTTAATCCAGGTAATAACAAGCATCCCATGCCCTTGGCTACGTGGGATTTTTATTCCAATCAGATACTTCACTTGAGCTGTTAAAATGGTTAAGGAAGCACCAGTTGCAAAGCCATCTAGTACAGACTCAGATAGGTACATAGATACAAAACCCAGACGAAAGATTCCCATTAGCACCTGAGGAGACATAGAAAAAAAAAAAAAAAAAAAAAAAGAAAAAGAAAGATGAGCCTCAAATGGTGCTGCAAATAATTAAATACAGATGGTGGGAGAGAACTAGCTGGAGGCAGATGGCATTTAGGCATTTGAGTCTTAAAACAGGAGTTACCCTTTGATGTTTCCAGTCTGCTTTTAAAACATGATTCCTTTTACTATTGTGGGATACTACAAACCCAAGAAGTGAATGAGGAGTTTGAGACAGGATCAGTCAAACATTGGTCTGAAGTGGCTTGTCTGGATTTTATTTCCCATGCAAAAGAGCAGTGGATCCAAAAATGCTTCTGTTATACCAAAGCCAATTTTCTTTTTTTCTTTCTTAAAGTGAATAAAGTTAAAACTTACAGCCACTGCTTTGTAAACTTGAATGACAACAGCTAAGATCCCTGCTTTAGTGGCACTGTTATCTTAAACAGCTTTTAATTTTAGTCCTATTAACAGAAGGGAATATGGACTACAGACAGCTTTTGTGACATGCCTAAGGTCTGAAGTGGCAGAAGAGCTCATACGCTTTCCTAGATTCCAGGATGATGTCCTTAACTAGTTCCTTCTCCTTCCTTTGTTGGCTTTTAGACATAAAGCTTCACAAGGGCATTTTGTTGTTCATAAATGTGACCTGAAATTTCTTAGTAAACAGGAAGATAGCTAGCTCTTTCTTAATTCATATATATATGTATATATACAATTAAAAGGTAAGTATGTTCATCATGCTTCCTTCTGTGTTCTCTTGATATCCTTGTGACGGACAGCATGTTGGTAAGTCTCAAACAGTCCAGCACAGCCGTTGTCTGAAAAGTAGGTTAGTCAATCTATTTCCGCTCTTGTCCTTTCTGCTTCTGAATTATCTTTGGACAGCATAGTATCTTTGGTAAAGCATAGTACCTGCTAGCAAAACACTGAGCAGCACATTCTGAACCTGTGTAGAAGTAGGTGAATGGGTCTGTACCTTTCTTAAAATATCTAGAGAAACAGAATTATTTCTTCACTATTGAAGTACACAGCTACTTGTGAATTTCCCTCATGGTAAGATCTGTATTGGATTCATGGTCTCATGAAAGCCCCAAGGCCAAGCGGCAGTGGAGTATCAAAACAGTGTTAATGGTCTTTCAGAAGACTCTTGTTTTACCAGTGCTTGGTAGTATCTAAGAAAACTGCCTACCTCATACTTTCTCTGAGTTGCTTACAGTTAGGCTTCCTGGAGAAAACAGTCCATGGTCATTCAAGTGAACTGAGGATGTGTCTCTCATTGAAAGAGAATCAAACCAAAGCTTAGGTCATGCAAAGAAGCTTTAGGAACTTCTTACCTTGCCTCTGGATGTCAGCAAGCACTTACCTGATACACTCCAGCCACAAATGTCAAGGCTGTAGCAATGCCAATAGCATAGCATTCCTTCCCACACTCAGCATTCATCCCTGCAACTGTAAGGTTGAAGGCAGTTGTGTTGGACTGACTGTCATTCTGCAGAGAGCCATCACCCAAGGCTGGTGGGGCATCATCATTCAAGTCAAACCCAGCCAAGAGAAGTTCTCGGTCTACAACTTGTCCTACCATTAAGCTGATCAAGCTGAAAATGCCAACTGAGACATGACGGGATGTGCCCATTAAGAAGTAGATGATGTTGGCAAAGAATGATGTGTAAAGACTATAAATGGGCTTCAGACCAGCTAGCAGTGAGTATGCGATTGCTTGGGGTACCAAAATGATCCCAATCACTAACCCAGACATAACATCCCCCCAAATGTACTCTTTGTACTGGTACTTGGGAAGCCATCGCAAAACAGGAAGGAAGTCCATGACAAAGTTCTTCAGCTTCTTTGGGCTGCAGGAGCAGCTCTTCCTCAGCTTAGCTAGCATAATTTCTTTCCTATTAATCTTGACACGTGTCTTTCTTTTCATGAGAAAGCAGGAAGCGGTGTTCTTTTCCATCCTGGTAGCCTCAAGTGGTCTTTCCATTGTCCCAGTGTATACTTCGTCTATGTGTTCCTGCAGTGTGAAGAAAACAGCTGTCAGGTTGCAGGTCATGAAGGTTTTTTTTAGCACAGATGCTTAATACTAAAAGTTTGTCACCTGACTGTGCTTTTAAAGAAGCATTGTCCAAACAAGAACATTACCACAGGGCTCCAGTGACATATAACACTAAAAAATAAATCTGCAGATTGAGCCTTTTCTTGCAGACACTTAAGACTACATTCGATTTAGTCCAGTTTGTATTACTAAGGAAAAATGGAGTTAAATTATTAATTTCTTTGTACAGGAAATATTGCCATCAGCTCTTCCAAATGCTCCATCACAGAGGTCTCTGTGATCAGAGGCAGCGCTTGATGGTGTGAAATAAACATATACTAGTGAGGTAGGCTATGGTCTTTCTAATAGTGCATCTTGTAGTCATTGATGTAGAACTCACATGTGATATAGTGATATGTCACTTCAGCTGTCCTCAGTGCACAGGAGAAAGATTTTACTAGTAGAACCTGTAAAGCAGAGTTTTCTGGAGAGCAACAATTTAGTATAATACAAAAATTTGTACACAAACCATTGATGGACTCTTGGAAGCTGCTATGTAACATAAATATGCTGAATTGTAGATTGTTTTGATGTGCAGCTTCCACTAATTAATAAGCATTTCCTCACAAAAATCACTCTGACAACATATGGACCATGCATCATGATTGAATCTTTCACCATCTCAGAAGAGTGTTACATGTTCGTATTCTCAGGTTTAAACCCATAGTTACCCTATCTTTTCTCTCCAGGGAGTAAGATACAACAAATAATTCAGTGGGCAGTGGAACAAATGCAACAATGTTTTCGCAACAATGTTTTCTATGGTTCTCCTGCATGTCAGTTTTATGATACATAAAGACCGGAAAAATTTGTGTTCACTAGATGGAGGTCCTTTTGATATCTCTTCCCTGTATGAACACAACAATTTTAACCAAACTCAATCTCTGCATTTTTACTCAATTGTCACATTAAGTTGAAATTAGTTTAGTGCATTCATAAATCATTAGGGGGTAGTTGGGGACATGACTGAGAGGCAAAACAGTATAATGTGCAAGTGCCCTACCTTAAACAGTTTAAAAATAAAAATAGGAGCAGGAAGGTGGAATATGTCAAACAGACTATGCCAGGTGGCAGATCTTGCCTTCTGGTTTGCAGTGGAAAGAAAGAAGAGACTTCCAAGAGTGGGTGCCTATATATAAGTACTGGGAGATAAGGAATGACTTAGGTCAACCTAGATGAAGAGAATATGTGCTAGTACAACAGTATTTAGAATCCCTAGGAAAGAAGAACTTCTCAAGCCCAGCCTCTTTCAGTGTCATAAACAGCCAGGATCTCTGCAACAAAGCTTTCTAGTGCCAGGTGTGACATTGCAATATAAAGTCTAAGCTTGTTTCTTTCCTCCTTCAGTATCTAGAGACAGCAGCCATACCCATGAGTTTCCTAAAACTTGAAGTGCACTCACTGGCACAGTACTTTGTTGGTATGCCGTAATGATGTTAACAGTTAATAGTAAGTTTAGACTCTTGTAACAAGTCATCATTCTCTGTGTAAATTTCATAAGGTTTTTTGTTTGTTGTTAAGAAAAGTTATTTTGATTTGTTAATGTTTGGTAACACCCAGTTAATGTGTAGCATTCCAAGCTGAGAAAAAACAAAGGGTTTATGAGTCCAACTGGAAGCATAATTGATAAGCAAAAGATAGATTATGAACAGCCTGTAAGATTTCAATCCGTAGCACTCCAGATAGAGAGTGGCTTGTTATAGTCTTCTTTCTATCCTGCTTAGAAATTTTTTCAAGATTTTAACAAATACCTTTTGCCAGCAAATTGAAAACAGTAAGAAGATATGTATCTGTAACTTGTGTAAAAGTCTTAAGCAAGTTCCCAGATACTATTTTAAATGAAACAACATGATTTCCAAGGCCATGGAAAATTTCACCACAACTTGAAACAGGATTATTTAAGTGTTACAGGTACGTAATTAGTAATTTGGCAAAAGGCAGAAAAGAGATTCTTGTTCGAGATGTGTAGACTGATTGTCCAAAATGAAAATGATCTACACAGTAGTCTAAACATATTTTTAAAATTAAGTAGATTTCTATCCATCCCAATTACATTAATTTTTAGCTCCCACTGTGTAAGTTTCTTTATTTTTGTAAGTAAGGTTTATTTCCGTCATAAGGGAAAACTAATTACAATTTAACATAATTTCTTAGAAAGACTGATGGATATTTTTCATCGGTAATGCCAAATTTACTTTAGACTCTAATATAGTGTGTGATTATGCTAAGCAAGATTTGCTTGTACAGGAAATATGTTGGATCTAGTCTTTGTTAGAATGCGAAGGTGAGAGAAAAGATAAAAGAAGTTATAATGCTAAGAGAAATACTTAACAGCATATGAGTTCAGTTTACCAAATGCAGAATGCAAGCAACTGTAATAGAGACAATAATTTTTAAGATGCAAATACCCAACACTTCCTCTGTCTTACCTAAATTAATTTGGAGAATGAGAGGCTTGTGTGTGAGGACAGCAAGTCCTGTTTGAATGCCACCCACTTCTTACAGCCAAGTGAATTCAGACAGCTAAGAAATAAATACAGTACCCTTGTTCTACATACTTAAAAGCTAGTGGTCAGTTCAATATCCAATGAATGCTTTTGATAGGCTACATAAAAAAGATTGCATCAGCTTTTGTACACTCATATATTTAATTGTACAGTTGCTGTCTGCCCCTCTCTAAACACACAATTTACTTGCAAGTAAATTTGTATGTATGAAAAAAAACCATTAAAATTCACATATATGCACTGTTTGTGCAAATTCCTGAGGGATGATAATAGTTTTTAATACATAAGAATATTGGAACATAATTTATCTCGAAATCTGTTAAGAGATCTTGCATATGAATGATAATTTATTAATATATCTTGGCTGCACTGCCTTACTGGATAATCAGAATAGTAGCTTTTCATAAATGCCAACTAGAAAAAAAAAAAAAAAAGTTTGTATGAACAAGCATGTATCTTTTCAGCAGTTTTGATGCATTTTACACAAAGGTCAAAAAACCCTCCCTGGTGAAATAAATACATTCCACCTAAAACATAGTCAAATGCTGACATGAGGTTGTTTTCTTAAATTCTTCTTTTCTTCTGAAAATAACAGTTTCCTTCCTGTACATAACCATTTATTATGCTAGTTACATTTTCAGAATCCATGTCAAATGAACATGCTAGCTGTAAAACAGTCAGCTCTAAAATGAGATGTTACTGTTTTCTAGAAATAGTTAATGTTTAGAGTTTCATTGTTGCTTTTAGAACATAGTAAAGCCACACCAAATGATGGAAGGAACGTAGTTACCAGCAAAACTTTTTTCAGCTGTGCAACGCAAGAACTCTCAGGCTGTGGTGCTTGTAGCTCAGTAATAACTTAGTTGCTTCACCTGAAGAAAATGGGATTCCACCATGGCTGTGTGCTGTTCCCTGTACATTTGTGAGCCTTGCGGAGAGCTAGGCTCTTGCCATCTTCAAAGACAGGAGAGTGGAGAGCAGATCTGCCTACTCCTGTGCACATGAGTAGACTCTGGTCTTCTGATTCTGGCACTGATACACAACACCATCCTTCTACGGTGGTAACACTTGATCAATTTTCAGGAGCTCTAGGGGTGTCAGTAAATAGATTCCTTTACTGGTTCACCAAGCTGACCCATTTTCAGCTCAGCCCATACTAAATGATTTATAAGAAAAGGGACAGCACGTATTTCAGGCTCCCCCTCGCCCCCAGAGCTTCACAAAACATCATGTTTGCTTTTTATTAAAATAAACGCTTCCCATCACTTGCTGAAAGGGCTGTTTTTAATGGGGATGCACAGATGAAGCACATATAACATAGAACAAGTCTATCTATTTCATTTGACTTTGGTATGGGAACATTCTCAACTGTTTAATACAAGTGAAAGTTACTTGCATGCACTTTCATATATATATGTATCATCCATACCATTATAACAAAAAATAGTCTTGGTTATTTTTAATTGTATTTTGATGTTTGGAATCTTCACAGTTAAGTTTTTTCAAGTTGCCCTTGACGATATGAGCAAAAGCAAAAAGTTGTGGTTTTTTTTTTTTTTTATTTCTACTTGAGCAGAACCACTGTCTGAACAACTCATTCTGTCAGGTTAAATGGAGGGACTCAGTTTATCTTGTGAAAAAGAGAAACAAAGCAAAGAACTATTCAAGCCAAACAAACTGCCAACTTTCCAACTGGCCTAAGTCCCACCTTTCTTCCTGTCTTTTCACCATGCCACTGACTTGACAAAATCCCCCTCTGCAGGGGAGGAAACATTTATCACGACATGTTCGGTGTGATTTCTGTTTGCAGATTCCTTGGCAAGCAGTTTCTGCTGGTACTCATATAACCATTGTGGCTGAATGACTTGTTCTTTGTGAAGCAGCACAATCCCTAAAAAAATTAGTCTGAAGCATCCTTTTGTCTCCCCATCCTGACTGTCCACCAGAAGATATGAGGCTGTATCTAGAAAGCCCAAGAGGGAGCAGGCACAATGGGCCTGCCTCTCTATGCTAAGGAGATCTATTAAATGCTGTATTTGGGACAGAAGTCAGACAATGTATCACAGCTCTATACAAGAATTGTTTGCTCTTTCTGAAATAGTGATTTCAAGTTTAAGTTAGGATAGAGCCATTTGTATAGTTTGAGCCAAGTGATGCTTGCAGTTTTCTCTATGTTCAAACTATGAAAAATCAGCAAAAAACTAATGTGGGTAGAACAGGTTTTGTATTTATCATCTGAAGTTTCATTGTATTTTTGTTGCATAAATCACAGAAAATCATGAGAGACATCAGTTTGTCTGAAAATTTGATTTAGAACACTTGTAGGTTAACTGGAGTTAAACTGTTCCTGTTACTCATCTTTCTGCCTGTAGGAAACCTTTCTTGGGTTTCTTGGCTATGACTACTTTACTGTTCTGATTTTGAGCATTAACACCGTTTTGAAAAAAATCCCTGGTTAACGTCATTTACAGTGCATAGATTCAGTGTATAGAGGTGTGTTATGCTTGCAGACCTGACTTTCCTCAGAGGGAAGTATCCAGAAGCTCTGCCCCAGTGCACTTTGACCCTTGATGGTGGCATGAAAACTTGAGCCAGCAGTTGGTTCTTTGGAAAGATTTGAACAGATGTGGTGAGGACATTTAGTCTGTGGGACGTGACTAGTCTGAAATAAAATCCCCTGAAATGCATATAATATAATATAATACTGCTTCAGAACTTAATGCTTTGATTTATTAATCTGCTTTTGTTGTGCAGAATTATTTAGAAATGTCGACATAACCTATGAGTTTTAGAAAGGATCATGCGACAAAACAGAACAAGTGAAATTAATGTTTCTGTCTTGCATAAGATACTGTAATTTCAGCTTTAGAGCACCAAGACCTAGATGTACTTGGAAGCAGACTTAAGCAAGGTGCCAGCAACCAAAACCATTTATTTAAACACTGACACAGCATACTTTCAGGTTATAGGCAAAGAACATCGTAGTACTTTTTAGGAAAACCATCTGAAACTGGATGGGCTTAATTAGTTTTTTACTATATCTGGGCAAAATATTGTGGCTTCAAAGCATTTTCCTGTTGAGTTTCAACATTATGCTAGTCCAAAAGTGGAAGAGGAAAAAATATTACAGTTTATTGGTCTGTATGAGTCAGGAAAGCCAGAACATTAGTTTTCAGTCCTCTGCAAATTAACACTGCTATAATTCTGAGAGTCAAGCAATATTCTAGATTTGTGTATTTCTAATTAAAATCTCCAATTCACAACTTCTACTTCCAGCTATAAATTGATCTAAGATTTCCAAGTCAAGTTAGGCTCTTTTTCAGATGTCTGCATTCACCAGCAGCTGTGATTCAGTTAATATTTTCCCAGGGTTTCTCAGTCCACTATCATGGTCAGTAAGATGACAACCACTGACATGTAACAATCCCAGAGGTGATGAGCAGGCAACAGTAGAACTCACACAATCATACAGCCGCTTTTGTTAAGGCTGGCCCATCAGATCATCTTTGGAATGATCAAAATATTAGCATGCACTCTAAAGCAATGCAGTGTTATTTTTCTGGAAAGTCCTAGGGCATGACCAGTAAAAAAAATACATTTTCTGTGGGGTCAGAGAACATTTCTAAAAATCAGACTTCTTGCTTTTGGAAAGGTAACTGATCCAAAGTGAAAGTCTGTTTTTTTAAAAAATCTTTCAAGACAGATTTCCAAGACCTTAGTCATCAGTCACAAATCTAAACACTAAGCTCTGTTTTCTGCCTTGTGGTTTTGCTGGACTTTGTTTAGTTATATTAAACTGTTGTAGAGAAAACCAAACTGGTATCCCATTCTCATTTTTTCTTATTGCCTTCTGTGGTATCTTGGATTTACTATACACAATAAGAACAATACTTTGGAAACACTCTTTCATATTTAATCACCAAGAAAATGCTCAGTTTTAATAATAATTTAATACTTTGAGAATAAGCTTCATATAGGCTACTTTTTGTAAGTACAAATAAAAACTAGC